CTAGAACCCGGTGTGCTGGCGCCGCTAGGTGGAGGATTAGCCTATTGAGCCGCGGTGCCGGCCGTCAGATTTAATTAGTGATTAACTGTTGGTTTAACTCAACTGTAAGATAAATTAAAACTAAAACTCAGAGTAACATACAGACAGAGGGGTGACAGTCTTCAGTGGGCCCATAAGGCACACAGACTGTGTTTGGAGTGGGAGTAGAAATACTATACATTAGATTTTCTTGGAAATTTTCTAGTTAGTGATTTTTTTAATTTAAGAGTAATAATTAAAATAATAGCTGTCAAATCATAGGAGAGAAAAAGTACACATACACAAGCAACCAGTTCAGTAAGAGTTGGAAAAAAAAAGCAAAGATGATTTTTAGAAAACACAAAATAAGGTAGCAGAAACAATTCTCAAATATATCTACCATTCATCACGGCAAATGGACATTTATTAAACTCACCTAGTAAAAAGAAATGATTGTCAACTTGTCTTTTTAAAAATGCAGCTATTCAGTGCTTCCTAGAAACACACTTCACATAAAACTTACCAGACAATTTGAAAATGAAGCAATAGAAGAATTATAAATACCAGGAAAATTGTAACAAAAAGAAAACTCAGTCATGACTGCATGAAAAAAAAAAAAAACAGCTTAGGGATAGAAGGCAATTTCCTTGACCTGAGAAAGATTGTCAGAAACGTCCCAGAACCATCGTTCTTGGTGGTAGGCATTAAAGTGTTCCCAACAGAATCAAAACAAGAAGAGGGTGCCCTCTGTTACCACTGCCATTCAGCATCATCCTGGAAATCCTCACCAATTCATACATTCCTCACCAGGAAGGAATATATGAGCCATGGGCTAGAGAAGTAAACAGGAAAGGGTCCTTTGCTTTTTTCAGACTGTAACATGTTTGCCTATTAAAAAATCTAAGAAAATCTACAGAAAAGCTCTTTCAATTTTTTTTTTTAAGATTTTACTTATTTACTTGAAAGGCAGAGTTACAGAAAAACAGAGAGTGAAATCTTCCATCCATTGGTTCACTCCCCAGATGGCCACAATGGTCGTAAATGGCCTGATTCAAAGCCAGGAGCTTCTTCAGGGTCTTCAACGTGAGTGCAGGGGTTCAAGTGCTTGGGGGGCACTTGGCCACCTTCTGCCGCCTTCCCAGGCCATTAGCAGAGAGGTGGGTTACAAGAGCAGCTCTGGGATTCAAATCAGAGCCCACATGGGATGCCAGTGCTGTAGTGTGGAGCCTTAGCAACAGCACCAGTCCCTTAAAGATAAGCTCTTATAACCCATGAGAGACTTTAACATGGCTTTAGATCAACCTCCAAAAAATAGCATTGCAACACACTAGTAAGTAATGAATTATAAAAGAAAAAAAATCCTATTCACATTAGTAACAGAAGCTATAAGATATCTGGTGCTTCGGTATGAATGTTTAGCTCCCCACTCTGCACCCCAAATTCAATGCTGAAGTCTAACCTCCAAGGCAGTGGTGTTAGGGGGTGGAGCCCTTGGGAGGTGATTAGGCCTGGGGTGGAACACACTCTGAGTGGGAGTGGCAGTGTCCTTATCAAAGATGCCTAAAATAGCTCCCTGGAGACAGCTGTCTGTACCCAGGAAGTGAGCCTTCACCAGCCAGCACCATGATCTTGGACTTCCAACCCCTCTGCTGTTTGTAAGCTACTTGGTTATTCTGTTAGAGCAGCCCAGACATACCAAGCCACCCAGCGGGGAGAAAGGCAACCAAAAAGTGTAAGCTTATTATGCAGAAACTTAGAAAATTTGATTGAAGGGTGTAAAATTAAACGTGAATAACTTAGAGACATGTCATGTTTGTAAGCTTGAAACAGACTCCAGTTGTCTCCAAAATAGATTGACGAAGCTGACTTTTAAAATGTAAAACTTTGATTCAACCAACAACACTATAAGTAAATCAAAAGATAAATTATGGCTGGAAAAGATTGCTCCAATGCATAGAATGGCAAAATTGATATTAAAATTGACTTATGAGTTAGGGAATAAAGCAACCCAATGGAAAATGGGCAGTTGATATGCACAGGCAATTCATAGAAGAAACCCAAATGAATATCCGGGAATAGAAGCTCAACCTGTAAGAACAGGGCGCTGAAATAAAACAAGATGCTGTTTTACCCCCATGAGGCTGGGGCAGGTCTGCGTGTCTGAAAATCTTCAGTGCTGGTGATCAGCAGAAACTCTTCTAGGGTGCCAGGGGAGCCATCAGCTGGTAAGGACTTTCAAGACCCCTTGGCTGATAGACGGTAAAGTTGTCATTTTACTTTGCCATAACTCAGCTATTCTTGTATCTGGAGAGCAGCATTGTGACAGGTGCACAAGTGTGTTCGTGGCCACATCACAGTAGTGAAAAAGCACCAACAACCTAAGTGCCCATCAGCAAGAGAGAAGGTGCACACAGTGTGGTGGAGTTGTACCATGGGGTGCTGTCCCCCAGTTAAAATGAAAGGACAGAACTTTACGTGTCATCGTGGATAAATGGGATAAATCACATAAGCATAGTGTCAATCAAGAATTAGCAAGTTGCAGACTCATGTTGCCGGAAACATGTATTTTATGAGTACATAAATATGCAAATGATATTAAGTTGCACAGCTGTGAGAGACAGGAAATACAAGAGAGGAGTCACCCTGGGGAGGAAGGAACCATGGAGGGTGGGGAAGGGATGGAAGGAGAGCTTCAAGTCTTCTGCAATGCTTTGTTTCTTTAAAAATACAGCTCTGGTTGGGGCGAGCATTTGGGCTAGGGGTTGAGGCACTGGTTAAGACACCCACGTCCCGTATCAGAGCGCTTGGGTTCAAATCCTGGCTCTGGCCCCTGACTGCAGCTTCCTATGAATGCTGATTCTGGGAGGCAGTGCTGATGGCTCAAGGGATTGGATTTCTGCTACCCACAAGGGAGGCCTGGATTCATTCCCAGCTCCCAGCTCCCTGCTGGCCCAGCGCCGACCGTTGTGGGCATTTGGAAAGTGAGCCAGAGAATGGGCGCGTGCTCTCTCTCTCTCTCTCTCTGTTTCTATCTCTCTACTTCTCAAACTAAAAAGAGGATGAAATATAACACTGATGTACCCAAAGCAAAAGATTTGCTACAGCGTGATAGTAGATAAAGGAATCTTTGTTTTATGTTTTTCTTTAAATATAAAATATTTCACAGTTTTTTTTAAGGTAATGAATTTTTTAAAGATTCATGTATTTATCTGAAAGGCAGACAGAGAGAAAGAAGGAGAGAAACACAGAGAGAGATAGTCTAAAGGCTGGTTCACTCCCCAAATGCCCGGAGCAGCCAGGGCTGGGCTAGACTGAAGCAAGGAGCCAAGAACTCCATCCTGGTCTCCCACCTGGTGGCAGGGACCCAAGCACTTGGGCCATCTCCTGCTGCCTTCCGAGGCCTGTTAGCAGGAAGCTGGATCAGAAGTGGAGCATCCAGGACTCGAGCTGGTGGTCCAGTGTGGGTTGCTGGCATCACAGGCCTCAGCTTAACCCACTGTACTTACAACATTGGTCCCAAAAGCAAATTTTAAAGTGAAATAAACATGCTTTGGGCATTGTTTTAAGATCCCATTTGAGCTACACTATATCTACTACTGGAACAAAAAAGGTATTTCACTTTGTTCCAGCAAATACTTGCTGAACGTTCAGTGTGTGCTGAGGTCATGCTGGAGACCCACGCCCATGTGAATTCTGAGTTGGCCTTTGCTGAGCTCAGAGTCCCCCAGGGATGCCAGGCAGGTAAGGAAGCCTGCCATGATGGCAGAAGTCCATGGTCAGGGCAGGGTAGGGGGCCCCGGATGGCGGAGACCGGCTGGGCTGGCAGCTGCTCAAACCAGATGGCAGCTGGGTTCTCCCAGGAGTGAGAAGCGGAAGGGGGATTGGAGGGGATGAGAGGTTGGCAGGGAGACCACCAGCCATGAGGCAGGAGGGCAAAGAAGGGCTGTGATGGTCCATGCGGGCACTGGAGTTACAGGGTAGAGAAGAGATACAGGGGGACGATGAAGAAGCCAGCTGTGGCCAGAGGGGAAGGACGTGAGGCAGGTGCAGGGAGTGGCTGCATCACTAGAAAGGGGCTCAGCTTCCCCCTGCTGACGGGGAGCCGGAAATCCTGCGTCAGGTGCAGTGAGAACGCTGAGTGACGGCTGGAGAGCTCCACTGCTCCAGGCCTCGCTCATCCTGCAGGCTCTGGCCGGCCTGGGCTTGCCCTGATAAATGGAACAAGCACAGGACTCTCCAAAAAGTGCTCCCGCTGCAGGAGCCCTGCAGTGCCAGGAGTGACAGCCTCCAGCCTGCTTGGACGTCGGCATGGCCTTGAGGGCCACCCAGGCCTGCTAAACACACAGACACCATCTGGTTCTCTCATGCTTGCTGGGCTTCCAACCAAAGACGGTCTCCGGCGTGTTTCAGTCACGCACAGCCCAGAGTGTGCCTTCCTCTACACTGTCCCATTCCAAGCTCCATGAAGTCCACGGCTTTCCCAGGCCTGGCCAATCAGCATCTCCTAGGACCTCGGAGGCCTACTTGTGTGGTGGGGATTGCCTCTTAGTACCTTGAGTCTCCCCAGAATAAACCTAACAATGCTGAAGAGGCCGCAATGAAGATCCCCTAGTGTGGACATCAAAGAAGAGGTAGCAGGACCCTGGTGGTAGCAGAGACACCAACGATGGCCAACCTGCATTGTCTCAGTCTGCCGCTAACCAGCCGCCTTGTGTGGGACACTTACCCTCTCTGGGCCTCAGTTCTGTAAATGATGATAAGCATCCTACCACCTCATAGGCTTCAAGCAGTTAGACAGATGCGGAGGAAACAGCTCCTCGCACCCAGCAAGTGCTGGATCCAAGTTGGATGCTGCCCTTTTTTGTTCATTATAGAACTTGAGTCTCTGTTCCTTGCTAGTGAAAAGAGCTAGTTATAAAGAAAAATAATGCTTTTTTTGTTTTTTTGTTTTTTGTTGTTGTTGTTGTTTGTCTCTTTTGCAGCAAAACCTATGTTATTCCTTTGCAGTGCAGCTGCCCTGTGGATTTTGAGTTCCACATCACCTTGCTCGAGTCTCATCAAGCCTTTGTGATCGAGCCAACGTCAGGTAAGGAGCGGCAGCGCCTCAGGTGCTGTCACTTCTCGCAGTTCTCGGATCACAGAGAGGATGGGAAAGTAGGTCTCAAGTCCTAAAAAAAGAATAAGCCACATTTGACTGCATTGCTGTATTTTGGAATGTATAAGCATAGCGAGTCTTACATATCTGACGTAGTGTGAATTGGAATTGGACACTGGGGAATAAGGGCACTTTTGAATAATTTGGATCGTGCAGACCATTTATAATAATGTCCAGGTAACTTTCTTTCAAGGTCGAAACTTGAAATGAGAAATTAATCTAATCTTGTTCTAATTTGGGCTGCTGACTGTGTCCTTGGTTTTGCTGTTGCCTTTTAATTCTGTCTCAGAGATAATAGAAATATCCTTTCTTGGCCGGCGCCGTGGCTCAATAGGCTAATCCTCCACCATGCGGCGCCGGCACACCGGGTTCTAGTCCCGGTCGGGGCGCCGGATTCTGTCCCGGTTGCCCCTCTTCCAGGCCAGCTCTCTGCTATGGCCAGGGAGTGCAGTGGAGGATGGCCCAGGTGCTTGGGCCCTGCACCCCATGGGAGACCAGGAAAAGCACCTGGATCCTGGCTCCTGCCATCGGATCAGCGCGGTGCGCCGGCTGCAGCGGCGGCCATTGGAGGGCAAAGGAAGACCTTTCTCTCTGTCTCTCTCTCACACTGTCCACTCTGCCTGTCAAAAAATAAATAAATAAATAAATAAATAAATAAAATAAACTGTATGTGAACTGTAGAATCTCAGTGGTGTGTCTAGTGAGTTTGTCTCCTGCATGGTGTAGATGATCTGCCTTGCATGCCCCAAAGGACACACAGGTCCCTGTGGTTTTAAAATGGGTCCCTTTGCATTTGAAAGTGAAATTGTACACCTGAACTGATTTCTGCCTTCCATTTTCAGTCTCTTGATATTTAGGTCTGGGATTCAAATTTAAATATCTATATTGAAATATATTTAAATATCCACAGTGGATGCTGAAGCAGTTTTGTTGTGTTTTAAGTCTGGATATTCATTTATCGATAACTCACATCTTTGCGAGTACATATTTCTGTCAAACAAACGTTCAAAGAAGAAATTTTGAATTAATTCTGATTTGTGAAATGCAAAGAGATTGTTTTCTGGAGAACCAGGGACTCTACTGAGATTTTTTTCAATAGAAGGTAACCACTATTTATATTGCCAAAAAAAAAATAGGGCTTCATTTTCTTTCCAGAGAGAAGAGGTTTATTATTTTCAGGTGTTTGGGGCTTACAAAGAAGGGAACATAAGTGGTTACTAAAATTGTACTGAACAAGATACTATTTCAGACTTTAAGAGTAGTTGGTATTCTCACAATAGACTTTTCGCTATAATAATGAGAGTAAAACTTAGAGGTTGTTGTACACCAGCCCCTCTTCTACGTGGGACATGTGCACACCTAATCTGTACCACAACCGCAGCAGGAGGCACAGTTGTTATTTCCATCTCGCAGACATAGAAGTGAGCCACAGACGGCTTACCTCCCCGTCTCAGGTCATGCCATTGTACATGGCGCAGGCGGGACTCGAACCCACTCTGGCTTCAAAGCCTCTGCACCACCGCATAAAGCACAAATCGGGGTTCCAGTTTGGCTTGGAAGAGGTTGTAAAGATGGGTGCTACAAGGTGTGGGGGAAGCGTGAGCTGGCTCCTTGGTCTTCGCCAAGGATCTGTCTGGGGAAATAGAGACCTTGCAAGAAAGTGGAGACACTCCGGCCCCATCCTGCACCCCCTGTCCTCCCTGGAGCACTGGGATTTGTGTCTGGGATTTGATCTCCAAGACTGATCCAGGTAAGTCCCCGTGAACGGACATGGTGAAGGCCAGCGAAGGGTTGGGGATACTAGGCCTCGAACAGAGAAAGGCATGGAGGCAGCACTCGGGCACTGTGGCGCGGTGAAGGAGTGGACTTGGGGCCAAAGGGAAGAGCTAGGACCCACACATAGGCAGAGACGCCCGCAGGTGAGCTTGGCTGCTTAAGGAGCTGGTTCACCACCGCTGAAGACTGGTGGGAATTTAGCAAGGAGGAGTCCAGCACCAGACGGGGGGGTGAGACTGGCTCAGCGCCCCAAGATGTTGAACAACTGGGAAAGCAAAAAAGCCCAGGGGCCCGTTCCCTGGTGGCTGGGAGTTAGCAAGTCTGAGAAGGGCCTGGTTGCCTGTACTTTGAACAGTGGGTCTCATGGGGACATTCCTCCAAGCAGTGTTTGGGTGCTTGATCTGTGGGTCCCGCCCACCCAATTGGGTGGGTCCCGCCCACCCAATGACCTGTACCTCTGTGAAGTTCCAGGGACAGAAGGGAACCATTAAGATTTCTGTGCAGCCCTGACAGGTGCTGTTCTGTGGATAGGTCCGTGTAGCTTGCATTGTGCAGGGGCAGCCAGGGTGGGTAGGGTCAGGAGGCCAGGAAACCGTGGCGTTGGAACAAAGCAATGCAGGCCTTGAGAACTTGCACAGAGCCGGTGTCCACAGCAAGGAAAAGCAGAGAAGTTGGAGAGTGGATGGCCTGGCCATGCCTCTGTGTAAACCTGCATCCCATGATAAACAGCACCGGTCTACCCAAGGGATTTTGAAACATGCCCTGTTCAAATCCCAGGCTCAGTAAAGATAGGCAGAATGCACTAACAGCATCCATGAAGTACTTTAAAAAGTACTCTCCCCAAGTACTCGGATGATAAATTGCAGTCAGCGTATTTGGACACACACATGTGAGGTGTCTGGTCTGATCCACTGGACAGTTTTCTGTGGTGTTCTGGTGCTTGGTTCCTTGCTCGTGTTTTAAATTCTTCCTTAGACTGAAATTCAATGGAAGTATCATTTGGAGTCGAGAGGGAGGTGAGAGAGAGGGTTGGAAGTGTAGGCATCACATGGGTACGGGTGGAGTGGACAGCCAGGGGGCGGAGATGAGGTCACCCAGGAAGGCTGCGTGGACACAGATGAGAAGTGGACGAAAGACCGAGTCCCGAGCACTCAGGCACTCAGAACATGGCGAAGGGACAGAGACCCAGGAGGAACATCAGGAGAGCATGCTGCCAGAGAGGGGGTGCGAGAGCGAGCGAGCAGATAAAGGCAAGCCAGGGCTCCTGGGGCTTGCGCACCCCTCACTGGCTGTTTTAAGTAATCTGCACTCCATGGACGCGTTGCTGGCCTGGCTTTTCCCACCCAGCTCGTGGGCTGGAGCCTTCTGTTTTCCTGGTAGTTATTTTATGCGGCTTCGTGCATCTCTGGATTTGCTGATCTCTGGAATTTTCCTGTGTTGGTTCCCCCACCTTGTTGTACAGACCCCAGAGCACCTTTGGCTGCTGTACTTTGGGGTCTGTAGCATTGCATGACCACCTCGTGTCACCTGCAGTTCCAAAGCCGGTGACCAGTGACCAGAGGCAGCTTGGATGGGCTCTGAGCTAATTGGTTTTCCTGGCTTCTCAGGCATCCGGCTTGACTCATAAGCCTCGCAGGTGGGAAATAGCCAGGGGCCAGGGGCCCAGTTGGAGAAGAATGCTCATGAGAAGTAAAAGCAGGAGTTGAAACTTTAAAAAAATTTCCTAAAGCACCACACCTAAGGCAGGAAGAACGATGAGAGACAGTTCACATATACTAGCTGTGAGTGAGTTCTCTGGGTTTAATTGACTTGTAACAGCACATAGAAGAAGCAGGAAAAACCAGACAGAAGAGTAGCAGTTCTCTGTGCGCAGACTGTAGAGCAGCTCCGTCGCAGTGGCGCACTGGCCCGTCTTACTCCGTGCTCGGTGTATCCTGGGTGGGAGGGAGGCAGGGCTTGCACACAATGCGGCTGGGATAATGTCAACAACTGCCTCTGTCTGCTGAGGCTTGGCCCCGTGCCGGCTGCTGCACTCAGCACATCACACGCTCTGTCTCATTTAACCCCAAAACCCTGGAGGGAGGGGCCAGTGAGAGCTCGGGGAGGGCAGGTAACCTCTGCCGGGCAGCAGAGTCTGTGTGGTTCCAGGCTCAGCTATGACGCCACACTGCGAAGTGATGCTACCAGGATGCCTTGATACAGGAGAGAAGGGGTGCGGGTATTGTGGTGCAAGTGGGTTAAGCCTCCATCTGGGCTGCCTGCATCTGCTATCACTGTGCCTGGCTCAAGACCCGGCTACTTTGTGCTGCAGGTCCAACTTCCTGCTAATGCATCCAGGAGGCAGCAGGTGATGGCCCAAGTGCTTGGGTACCCACATGGGCCACCCAGATGGAGTTCCTGGCTCCTGCTTCGGCCTGGCCTAGCCCCAGCTGTTGTAGGCAGTGAAGGAGCGAAACTTCAGATGGAAGCTCTCCCCCACATAAGTAAATGAATAAAATCATTTTTTAAAAAAGATCTAGGGAAGAGGAACAAACGGAATAGTTTCCCAGACACAGAGTTCAAGAAAATTCTGTCTTGTGAGAGAACAGAAATCAGCAATGGCTCTTAAGCAAATCTCGTGTTTTCTTCTCATCTTCCAGAGACCCAGGTGTTTCCCATCCAAGAAGACCATTTGGGCCAGCGCCATGGCTCAATAGGCTAATCCTCCGCTTGCGGTGCTGGCACACCGGGTTCTAGTCCCGGTTGGGGCGCCGGATTCTGTCCCGGTTGCTCCTCTTCCAGGCCAGCTCTCTGCTGTGGCCCGGGAGTGCAGTGGAGGATGGCCCAAGTGCTTGGGCCCTGCACCTGCATGGGAGACCAGGAGAAGCACCTGGCTCCTGGCTTCGGATCAGCGCAGTGCGCCAGCTGCAGCAGCCATTGGAGGGTGAACCAACGGCAAAGGAAGACCTTTCTCTCTGTCCACTCTGCCTGTCAAAAAAAAAAAAAAAAAAAAGGCCATTTGGTGGGGAACCAGCAGTGCTCAGTGAGCTTAACCCAGAACACAGTGGCCGACCTTGACCAAATTCAAGCCTCTGCTCTCCATCCTGGAGGGCTTGGTCCCAGAGAGGCTCAGGGAGGAGGTAGGAATGGCTTGTCCCAGTCCTTCTCCCTGCTGG